ATAATAATAATAATAATAATAATAATAATAATAATAATAATAATAATGTTAAAATCCACTATACCAATGTCTAAATAGCAATAGAGATTCTGAAAATAGAAAACCAAACAAAAAGGAAACAATCCAGTTTTGGAAAGATCTACAAGAAACTCAAGCTACAATAAAAATGATGGATGGATAAAAGAATTTGAAGATGAATTTATTAAAAATCAAATGGAAGAAGAGCAGAAATCGCTAAAATTGGGTGAAAGGGATTAAAAACATCTGGAAGTCATCAATTACATGACTCAATTTTAGCTCAAATATCTGACCAGCTGACATGCCATTACAACTAAGAAGCTTAATGAAAAAAGAGATGTCATCGACTGGTTAATAGCTGGCAAAATGTATACGATTCTAAAGGACTCAGCAAAAGCAACAAAAACAGGAAACCATAGGCCGACAATATCTTTTCCTACAATGTTTAAATTACAGCATGAAACTGGAGAACACCCAAGATTGTTTAGAAGAAAATAATATCCAGTAAAACAGAAAGGAAATAAAAGGAACAGCAGATCAAGCAAAGATCAAGTTCAGATTGGTAAAATAATTTTGGAGAATTGCAAAATATGAAAATCCACTTTACATATCATCTGGATTGATTATAAAGTGCAATTGATTCATTACCACATAATTGGATCATCAAATGTTTGGAAACAATTGGTGTCAGTAAAAATATTAGGATGTTTATAGTAAAAATATGAAGCAGTAGAAGACAAAATTGGTTGGAAATGAAAAATATGGGCTTGTCACTGTTGGGAGAGGCATCTTGCAGAGTGACTCATTATCAACATTTATTTAAGTGACTTTGAAGGAAGCAAATGTTGGTTACCAAAGAAAATAGGTGCTAATAAAATCTCACCTTTGCTTTATATGGATAACCTGCAGCTTTATGGAAAATCAGAAATTGAAGCCCAGTCATTAACAAATACCGTAAGGATTCTTAGGATAGATAAATAAATGGAATTTGACTAGAGAAATGTGCAAGAGTAATAATAATGTTGGGGTAAAATCACAATAATAGAATCGAAATACCAAACAGCTATATCCTTGGGAGCCATCAGGATGAAGCTTACAAATATCTGGGTATTTTACTATTGAATATCATAAAATGCGGACAACTTAAACGTGCAATTAGGACAGAGTATATCTAAAGAGTGAGAAAAGAGTTAAAATCAAAATTGAATGGTGGAAATGGCATCAAAGCATCTATACCTGGGCCATACCTGTGGTGCAGTAAAAACCTCTTTTTACTACCCTGTAATCCCTTAACTTGGGATAGAGCCTGGCGCTGAGGGTTTACTGGCTGGATGCCCTTCTTGATGCTTACGCCAAGTTTATAGCAGATATTTTCTCTTTGTATCTCAGGAGAAAGAAACATCTGCTGCTGTCTAGGATTGAACTCCCAACCTTCCTAGCAGGAGGCGAGCATCTTCACTAGGCCACCATGCCACTCGATACCTGGCATACAATATACTGCTTGAATTATTAATAGGAAAGAAGCTCAAATGGGCAGTTTGGACTAAAAAAACAAGAGAATGACTATTCACTATTCATTACATCCCTGTATTGATGTTGATCAATTATACCTGCCCTGCAAATATGGAGGTAGAGGTTTACTGCGAGTCAAACTGCTGAAGAAGAAAAGCATGCAGAACTGACTACATAAAAGATTGTCCAAAACAAGCATAACTGGAACTTCCTGAATGTTCAGGAAACGTAACATGAATATTCAAATAATGTAATAAAAACAAGAACCAACTGCTGGCACTACATGGTCAATTTCTACACAAGATCAAGGGGAAAGTGGATAAAGATAAAACATGGCAGTGGTTTTCAACTTACAACAAAGAAAGTTATTCTGTTTTCTAAAATTATTGCACCTCCCAAAACTCAATCTTGTTAAGCTTTTTGCTTTTTAAGTCAAAAACCTTTAATATAGTATTTTTCCTCCTCTTGATTCCCAAAACAAAAGCAACTCACTGTCTTTATTTTTTCGTACTGTTTGGAAGACTTTTCTTAAACTGAAATTAATTGTATCAAAAAGTGTTTTAAGAAAACGAGGCTTTTGCATATCTGGCGTCCATAAAGGCTGCACAATGGTTTTGAGTGTGATGGTAATCCCTCAGCTTCTAAGCTGCTCAACCCACAGGCCCCAGGAGAAACTCAATTTCCAGAGTATCACTAGGAGCAGCTGTCCAGAACACAAATGGGCAATCTTTCAATCTACATTTCCGGAGAGAATTTCATTAGTCAAATGTTATTGCCAGGCTGTGGACCTTTGCTGTCCTTCCTGGCATAAATGCTCACAAGGGCATCTAACCCACCATAGGTCCTCACCTACAAGCCTGAAATACCAGGGGTAGGCAAGCCTGGTTTTGTGATAGACAGAAGGGAAACCGCAAAGGTCTTGGGAATGGCCACTTTGGTTAGGTGAATGGCTTCTGTTTATGTCCAGCAATTGCTTTCATCATCTCTGGAGAAGGCCACAGTGTTTGTGGCATGCTTTTTCATGGTCAACCAAGTCGGCTCTAGAGGTGCTGTTAGCAACAGCATGTGCTTGACTCATTCATTTGTGGGCTTCCATAGTGTTCGCTATTGTGAGGCTTCTGAATTGCATTGCTGAAGGTCAACTAAATGCAAGACATTGCAGTAAAGACAAGCATTTACACCCCCTCAGCAGCCTTGAGGGAAGTAGGTTGCTTTCATTGTGTCAATACAGCAGGAGCTCTGGAATTTCCCCACCATAAAAGATTTCCCGTTTCTAAAGCTCCTTTTGCTTATCAGTTAAGAAGATGCTGGCCTTGTAAGGGAGGAAGAAGGCTTTATGGAGTGTAGCATCCTGATCACAGAAAGGAAACATTGTGATTGGAGGAGTGGGCCTCATCCTTGCACTCAAGAGGACCCATCCTAACAGCCAGTGTTGCTTGTATGAAAGGAGATCATGGGGAGGGGAGGGGCAGCCAGCGGATGCAATGGCAGTTTCAATTGAAGCTGATCTTAGTCCCCAGTTTATAAAAATTTCTGCAAAAGCAGAAAATAGCTCGCTTTAAGTAATATTGTGCCTAAAATTAAGCACAGAACCACAGAGATACTGTTTAAGTAGCTCCTCATCAAGTTTTTTCATTTTTTGGCCAAATATCTTTTGAAAAGTTCTTGCAGGATACAGTTTATCTTGTGATGAACATTCTTATCATCTCTAGGCAATGCAGATCGCGACCCTTAAAGCCAAATCTTCCCCATTAACAGTCTGCATGGCAAGGCATTGGCATCATCTCTGCTCTTCCTGGCACTGAATTCCATTGGGGCCTTCAGCTTCCTGGTAAAACATGGCAAAACATCAGTTGTAGCTGCAGCCGCCTTGCACCTTGAAGAGGGGTCCAGTGATGCCCACCTCAGGATAGTTTCAAGGCAGTGCCTTGCAAGGCAGAGGTGTAGCATTGATGTCTTATCTTCTCACTTTGAGCAGCTCCTTCCTCCAAGCTGCCAAGACTTTTGATGCTTCTTTTTTGCCTCATGATGCTCAGTAGAATTAGATAGAATAATCCAATTCATGGAATATTTGCATTTGTAATCCTCTCATACATCTTTTCCCCCTTCCATTAAGAAGGAAAGATGACAAAGCAGCTGCAGAATTCTTTTAAAGCAGCACATATCAGGCGCTATCTGTCTGGAAGCATCCTGCTCAAATATGCTCCTCTGCGGCTTCTCCAGCCCCCACATGGCAAAATTTGGAGTCTGAGAAAATGCAATTCACTTTCTTTGATTCCATCTGGAATGTGGTTTGAACAAATGTATGTGGGCAGCTATGAGAAATAGTATGGACTCATAGAAAATAATGCAGTTCATGTCCTTAATGAACCAGTGGAGCTGCTGCCATTTAAAAATATTTTTTCTTTGAACAATTTCCACATCTCGTTTAAAGGCTAAAGGCAACCGAAGGTTTACAAAACACTGCATTCTTTTGGGAACTCCTTGTTGGGAAGAGCATTTAAGAACCTAGGAAAGGACGGAGGGATAACCTTGATCAGAAGAGCCCTTCTCTCATTCCTCAATGCCTACGTGCCTGGTGCTCCCAAGCAATGCTCCGGCTTCAGTTCTGCTGGAGTGGGCTTGGTCTGAGGTAGGGGGATTGGGGATGCCCTGGTTCCATTGGGCATATTTGGATGCAGGACTGGGCACACAAGCCCATCCCAGCCGGCTCGGGGATTTTTCTCTCTCAATTGATGGCCAACAGGGCATCTCCATTCGTTGGATAGGAATAGTGATAGTATAAGGGTGACTTGACTTCCTGATCCTATCTGATTTGTTTTGCCAGGTGGCACAAATGCATACTTAAACATATCAGAAGAGTTGCTTGTTTGCAATCCATTTTGGAGGGTATTTGCCCAAGGAACTTAAATCAACTGAATGAATTGACTATTTTTATTTTTTTATTTCCCTGCCTTTCCTAGTTCTGGATTTTGAAATCAAGTTTTTAAAGGTTGGCAAGTCCAAAATTATATGGTGAAAATCAAACTAGGATATGAATGCGAAGTTCTAATCTTCTGCCCACCCCTCGCCCATCTGTTGGCTCCTGGAGATCAGGACTGTTACCTATTGTACATCTTATTGCATTTGCTTTAATGTAATCAATTATTTCTTTCTGCTTTGGGATATTTTGCAGGTGAAATGACCAGCACACATTTTAAGCCCTGCCTTTGCTCAGAAAGAGGTTCCCAACCAGGCTCCAGCAGGAGGGGGGGGAATTTAGGTCTGCTTGGAGCTGCTTGCTGTGGGAAGGGGCAAGTGCGATGGCAAACGACATTCATTCAGCTGCTAGGAATTCTGTAGGGTCCTCCTGCATTGAGCTTTCCAAGCCACAGAATGTCTTGCTGCCAACCCAGCTTTGCTCCAGGGGCCGAGTGTTCATGAGCAAGTTTCACAGGAAGACAGCAACCCGGAGAAAAGGCACTGAGCTGCTTGCCTGTGCTTGGATGTTGGGGCATCCATGCTCTAAGGCTTTCCCTGCTAGCAACAGCCCCAGAGGCCAGTTCCATCTTTGGCCAGGTCTCTGTCCAATGTTTTGACAGGTAAGAGTTTAACCACCACTGTTGTGGTTAATTGCAAGTCCTAAGATCTGCCCCACCACAGACTTTGCCACATTACAATGCTTCTTGGTTAAGTGCCAACCAGAAAGAGGAAGAATATTTCTCACATGCACATCAAGCAAGTGAGAACTCCATGCAATTTATTTGGTGTGCTCAGTTTTTCTCTCCATTGAAATGAAGACAACCTTTTTCTTGTCTTCACCAGGATCAGGAAAGGAAACCAAGCCTGGCAATTTCCCCGAAGGTCCTCCAAGCAGAGGAGGCCATGAACAAGGCCTGTCCTTTCCTACAGTAAAGTTTTCAGACCCTTGTGTCCTGAGTTTGAAGAATCTTCAGCTTGGCATCCAGAACAATGGTGTTCTTTCTGGGCACGGTAGATAGTTGTAGCCAATTCTGCCACAGAGGTCCAGGTTTTTGTTCTCTGCTACGCAGAGGCATTCTTGTAAATGAGGTCATTGCCCCCTCCCGCTGCCTGCTCTTGTGTTAATCCCCCGTCTGTCTGCTGATGGATGGAGGCTGATTGGCAGAGAGCAGAAACGCACTAGGGTTGGAAGTGTTCTAGTCCAGCTTCCGGCTGAAACAGGAGACCCTATACCAGGGGTCCCCAACCTCCAGTCTGCAGCCACAGCCGGTTGGGAAGCAGGCTGCACAAATGGCAGACAAGCATGCAAACAAACCCACCCTCCAATCAGTCTTTGGAGCTGGAAAGGTTGGGACTGTTGCTCTAGAGCCGTTTCAGGGAAGTCCAGTCTCTTCTTGAAGACCTCCAGGAATGGAGAATCCACAACTTATGGAGAAAAGCAGTTCCATTGGTTAATTGGTCTCACTGTCAGGAAATTTATCCCTTGCTTCTTGTCCTGCCTTCTGGTGCTTGGGAGGATAACAAGCCCCTTAGATACTGGGATATTAATACCACATCACCCCTAGCCTGCCTCTTCCTTAGACTAGACATATACATCTCCGGGCTAGTTGACAGACTCTTCCAGCAGCACCAGCTTGAGCGCAAAGCTCCCTGTGCTTCTTTGAGTAAGGGGGAGGGCGTGGGTGCCCTGTGGATAAGAGGTGCCTTGAGAAGCTGCTGCTGCTGCTGCTGCTGCTGCTGCTGCTGCTGGAAAGACTCCTCGAGCCGGGGGTTGGACTAGATGACCTCCAAGGTCCCTTCCAACTCTGTTGACTCCCGTGGGCAGGCCTCGAGGAAAGGAGCTCCGCAAAAGAGAGGGTGGAGGGGAAAGACCAGGACTCGTCATTTCCGTCCGCGAACAGGCACGCGTGCGGGGTGGGCACAGCAAGGAAACGCGGTCGCCCCAAGCGCAGAATTGCCAGAAATCCTGCGAGCCTTAACACAGCCGCCGGCAGGTTTGCTTGCTACACCCCCTCCCCTTCTCCACCCCCCGCCCTCCTCCCATGTCTTCTGTGATCGGCAGCAGCGACTGCCTTCAGAGCCGGCGACGCATTCGCTGCAGCTGCCCCACTCAGCAAGCGAGCGGACGGAAATCCTTCCGCCGCGGCGGCTGAGGACTGGCTTCCTTAGCGGTTTGCGTGAACCGACCGGGCGGTGGCTACCGTGCTCGGCCGCGGCGATCGTCAAGGGGATAGGAGCCGCAAGAGCAGGAGGCGCCCCCCAGTTCGCCTCGTCGGAAGAGGTGGCTGCTGGGCGAAGCGGACGTAGCGCCGGCGGACGGTGCCGCGCGCGTGAAGAGCCGGCAGGAGGAGCCTCTCCGGGAGAGCGCATGGCCAGCCTCGCCTACCAACCCGGGCGCGCAGAGGAGGCGCGGCCGCGAACGGCGGCCGTCGGGCCAGGTAAAAGCGCGCGGCCGGAGGGGCGTCGCGGCGGCAGCCCACCTTTGCCTTTGCCCGAAATTGCGCAGTCGCCGCCTGTCGTCCCGGTCGCGGGTCAACCTTCGCGGAGGAGACAGAGGAGCCGCCGGGAGCGGAGGGATTCCAGGCCGGCGCGTCGGACCTCGACGGAGGCGAGCGACCTGGTCTTGCTCACTCTCCGTGGGGGGAGGCCAATTGTCGCCGGCAAGGGGCCGGTGGCAGGTAGGGCAAGCGCCTTCCCGACTGATGGCAGGTCTCAAGGTGAGAAGGGAGGCGGGTGGGGCGTCCTCGGGCCGGGTTTGCGCTCCTTTGAACTCCTGGCTGGGGGGAAGCCGCGGGGGTGTTTACCCGTTGTTGTGAAGCGGAGCAACGAGGGGACGCTGCGCTTCGAAGCTTGGGGTGTGGGGGATATGCGGGCGCGCTTGTGTGCGCGCTCTTGCTGCTGGCGGAACGGCCTCTCCACTCGAGCCAGGCTTCCTCCGAGGTGGATGAGCTCCTGTCAGCAGCTCACGCGTGCTCCCTGCTGACCATTTTGGGCGGCTGCTCTGAGGTGCCCACCTGGCGGCGGGGAACCCCTAGTGGGGAGTGGCGAGCACTTGCTTCGCCTGTGGCGCGGAGGTAGCTTCGAGCCGAGTCGGACAGCGAGGGCTCTTACGACGAACGGGGGCAGCGCAGCGCCCCGTCGGGAGGCGGAAGACGCCGGGGCCGGGCTTCGCCATTAGGAGAAGCCCGCCGTTGTCGGACACGTCTGGTCTCCAGCCCCACTGGGGCGCTCTCGCCACTGGCGCTGCCTGCGCCTTCTCTTGGCCTTCAGTTGCAGAGGCTGCTCGGCCTCCCCGCCTTCTGCAGGTCTCGGACCTGGAGCCTCTCCGCGGGGCAGTTTTTGTAGCCGGGAGCCTCGCAGCTCTGGGTATCGCACTCTTGGCCAGGCGAAGCGAAGCTTATTTGCGGCCTTCGGCCCAGCCCTGGTTGGCAGCGCGGTGGGAGCGCGCCGGCCTACGCCTGGAGGACCCCTCCTCCGCTGGGCAACCATGTCCAGACCTCCGGTTCCGTCCGCCTGTGTGCGCGCGTGAGCGCGCTCGTCAAAAGCGGCCTTCACCCCGGCGGCTAGACTGCAAAAGCTGTTGCGGTGATTCTGGGTGGGCTCTCCCCGCTGCCATCAAGGGAAGGAGGGACCGTCCACTCTTGCCCCTGCCCAGCTGAAATAGCCTCGAATGACGCTTGCGGCCGGCTAGTTCCTGGACTGGTGTGCACGTGAGGACGGGCTCCGTGCCGGCTCCCAGGCTGCTGTAGTGCCGCGGGTTCTCAGCCAGGGCCTCCGCTCTTTGCTCAGCTGGAGAAATGGGGCCTGACCCGGTGGGAGAGGATGCTGCCGGAGGTTGGCCGACAGAGCCACGGGCCACTAGTGCTTTTTACATTTTCTGTGTGGAACACTGTTGTAATGACGAGGCTGTCGAGGTGTTTGATCATGATCAAATGAATCATGATGAACTTTATTGGAGTCTAGTCTTGCATTTATACACATTTTTAGTAATCCTCTAACATTGCTTAACTTTGGTTATTGCTTAACTTTCATTACTGTTTAGCATAGTAATTAATACAATTAATTATCTCTAGTTAAAGTCTAACACATATTTACTTCCTCTCTCTAATCCTCCTTTACATTAATGACTTTGTTTGCCTGAGTTGTATTTGCTTGGTAAACATTCATTACCTGAGGTTTGCCTTCAGATTGGAACATTCCTGCAATTACAACTCTACAGAACACAACTAGAATGTTGTGGTTTTTCTTTTAAAATGGTTTAGAATCGTTCAGTGCTTAAGCAAATACGTTATCTGTCAATAATTGCATAGATCCAGAGCATAACAGCCATAGCCTCCCCTCCTAGAGAAAAAATGCGTGGCTTGAAATGTGAAGGTGTGTGTGGCTTAATGAAGATGCCCCCCCCCCCTCCCCCAAGGCAGCCACCAGAGGTTTTTTCCCCTTCTGGATCCCATAAGGCAGCTCACCTTGTTCTGTGAGGCATTTGTAAAGGCCTTGGCTCCACCTCCCTTCCTCTGCTGCTGCTGCTGCTGCTTCTGGCCCAAAGGGATGGGGTGGTTTTGTGGTTCCTGTGCCTCTCCTGTGGGAAAGCTGTGAGAAGGGGGGGCTCAGATTCTGTGGTGTGTGGAGTTGTTAGCTCATTGGAGAGCCTAGGTACAGAGGCAGTCGGACAGGGCCTCCTGTCAGGAAGGCTGGGTGTTCATGCCTGTGGAGTCCCATTGGGCCATCTGGTTGCCCCGCTTTCCGTGTTTTCTCTGCACATGTTGGCTGTCAAAAATTTTACTTCTGCCAAGTTTCTGTTCAGGATGTCCGAAATAAAGTGTGACAGAGGGAGCGGGGGTGGGGGAGAGAGAGAGAGACACCTCTATTTAAAAAGTTATAGGCATCATTTTCACAACGAGTGCCTTCTTCATTCAGGGCCTCTCTTTAGTGCTCAGGCCTTGGGAGTTTGTGTGTGCTGAAAACTGGCATTTGTGGCATTTATTTATTTATTTATATCCTGCATTTATCCATTTGCATTGGATCAGCATGGAAACCAACCCTTTTGGCATCCTCTGTACCACTTAGCAGCTGCAGATACATTAAGAGACATCTAAGAGAATGGTGAGTTTCCTAAAAGGCCAATTTAAAAAAACAAAAACAAATTAGAAGCCAAACATATAAGGTCTTCACAACCATCCTGCATCAAGGGCTGGAAGAACAACCACGTTTTTAATGATTTTCTGAGTGTCATTAGGATGTGATGTAGTGTAGTGTAGATGAGACCTGATTGATTTTCCTCAGTTAAGAACTATAATTTAGTTGCAAATTGTGCAACTAAAGTTTATTGTTCGAAACTGCAGAATAAATGCATGAATTCTAACTACAACCAAGGTTCCCTCCACCTGGGTTCAAGTGTGGAGACCTTGGTGTTCTTTGAGTTTGGTTGTTTGCTTCCAGACATTTCATTACCTAACATCCTCTGTGTGAGGGAGGTTTGCTACTTCTCAAGGACCAAGACAAGGGTTTGGGTCTTTTTTTAGTTTCCCAAATAGAGTAAGACTTGCTCTGCAGAGTTCCTTAGTCAGCTGAAACGGGGTACTTGCAGCTGTTCAAATTTCAACTGACCTCAACACACACACACACACACACACACCATGGCATTTCTAGTCATTGCTTCTGGAGAGCGCAGGAAAGTCTTATGGCTTCTCTCTATGTGGCCACAGAATCATAGAGCAGGAGGAGGTTATTTTGTCCATTAAAAATGAAGCATCTCCAATAGATGGGTACCTAACACCTTCAGCCAAAGGTGCTAATCATCCCTTGGTTAACTGGCTCCATGACTGAAACGGAACGTTGAGGTTTCCATGCTTAGAACAATCTGGACTTTAAACACCAGACGCTGCAACCTTTGTAAACACAAGTCGGTTGCCAAACACCTGAAGTTTGATAACATGACTGTGAGGATGCTGCAATGGTCATAAGTGTTCAGTGCCATTGTACATTTGAGTGGTCAATAAATGAATGACTGTAAATCAAGGACTACCTGTAACTGTAGGCGGGTTTCTCTTTTCTGAATATTTCTCATTGTTACCACACCTGAGGATCACTTTGTGGTTGCAAATGAGTAACCAGTGAAATTTATATAACAGAGGTGTCACATGGGCCAGCGTAGCCCTCCCCGCCCCCCCCCCGCCGCACTGTCAGGCAGCTCCATTAAGAGCCATCTGTAGCTTCCAAATACTCTTCAAGGGTTATACCATGAAGAGTACATTGCAGTAGTCCAAGCGAGAGATAACTAGGATCTGAGGGCCTGAGTACAGGGATTCCCAATCCAGAAAGGGGAACAACTGGAACACAACTTGAAGTTGCACAAAAGTTCTCCTAGCCACCACTGCCACCTGCTCTTTGAGCAGGAGTTGAGAGTTGTGTACTGGGTCTGTCGGGGGTGGGGTGGGGGGTGCTACCCTATCCAGAAAAAGATATCAAAATATATTTATGAGGTCTTTACATGTCTATATATTCCTTATCATGCTGATGTTTTTATTTGTGTTTGCTGCCCAGATTTGCCCATGGCCGAGATGGGCAGCCATATAAACAGAAATACATGCATGTGTACATACACAGCCCTTTTTATTGCAACCTGTTCCATCACCCGGCAAAGTCTCTGCTATAGTAGAATTCCAGCACAAAAGAATGGTCTCCGTAATTGCAGGGAGAATCTCTTCTTACCTTACCTCTTTCCTCCTACCTGTCTGTGCTTTTTCCCTGGTCAAAAGGTTGCTCTGTTGCTTTCTGTCCCTTCAGAATGTGGAGCTGATGTCTCTCCACTACTAAGAGAAGCTTAGTAGTAGAGGACAAAACCTCCCTGTTTCTGGAATGAGGAAAGTGAACCTAGAAACATAGAAAACTGAAATATTGAAGTATTTCAATAAAACATCAATATTTTAATATTGAAAATGCTGCCTTCTAGAGTCTTATTCACACCCTTAATATATTTAAAGATTTCAGTCACATGCACCCTTTACCTTCTGTCTTCCAGACTGTGCATATTCAGTTCCCTCAATCTCTCCAGATATGTTTTGTTCCTCAGACTTTGCACCGTTCTGTTGCCCAACTCTGGACTCGCTCAATCTTACCTATGTCTTTTTTTAAATGAGGTTTACAGAACTCGACACAGTATCCCAAAAGATGCCTGACTAATGCCCTGTATAGCGAGATTAAGAGAGCATATGCACTAAGACAAATTCCTTGTGTGTCCAATTACACTTGGCCAATAAAGAATTCTCTTCTCTTCTCTTCTCTTCTCTTCTCTTCTCTTCTCTTCTCTT